GGCTTTGCGTAATTCAGTGACACATTTATTTCGGTAACTGTTTAAACGGGACTGATTTTCAGAGGTTTTTGATATTCTGTAAGTTTTCATTGAAGAAGCTTTCAACTTTAGATGTATTACAGAGGCATTCAACCATGGAGTTTTATTTTTCCGGACCGGAACTTTACAAGTTGAAATATATTTTTCCTGTATTGTCTCCAACTTATCATAAAAATTTGACAAAATGCGATTTGGATTTGACAGAGAAATACCTTCATTCCAGTTAGTATTCTCAATCTCAGCATGAAACATGGGTAACTTTGATTTTGGAATCCTTTTAATGAAATTATGCACATGATCTGTAGGTTTCTTAAGGTTTTTTCTAATGACATAAATAAGTGAATGATCCGAGACTGAAGTATTTATAACTCCAGATATGCCAAATACGCAGTATCGGTTTGTGAAAATAAGATCCAAAATGGAATTGCATGTCTTGCCATATCTTGTTGGTACTTTAATTAACTGTTGAAGCCCTAAGTTTATAGACTTTGCTTTCAGGCCTTTGGAAGTTTTATCAGCCCAATTCATATTGATATCACCAAGAATCACAAACTCTTGATTTTATGCCTTTTATAATGTCAGTGAGCTGCGCTAAATATTTAGTTGAATTAACACTTGGAGGTTTATATGTAACAACAACCGTTGTCCTCCAGAATAATACTGAAGATGTAAAAATGATTTATTTGAGTTACTGTTTGATTGTTGGGTGAGTAAAACTGAATGAAAACCTACAGAGTTCTTATTGTTTTTAGTTTTTATGTCTAAATCCATGTAAAACCTGACAATTCTCCTTAAAGTTAAATTTAAACAATTTTCTTTATAAATAATCTTTAATACCTTTCTCGTTGTGGACTGTTGTGAATGATGTACTTTCACTCACCTTTGGCTCGCAGCAGCTCGTAGTTTTTAAGTGTCTAAGTTTGTGTTTTGAGTCTGTGTGTGGTGGGTTTTAACAGACTGCTGTCAGCTGCTGGGAGAGGCCCAGTGTAAAGCTGACAGTCACGTTAACAGATCTGACAGAAGCAGAAAGATCAGTGCACAGAAAGAAACGCACAAAGAATGTTGGGGCCTGGAGGTCGGCTCGGGAAAATTGATTGTCGGGTTAGAAAGGTTGAAAAGCGGTTTGCTCTGCTCAGGCTTTAATAACTGCAGCCATTTCTACTGTACTCTCTTTAAACTGGTGTCAGATCTCCCAAAATACAGTCGAAAACAGCGTGGAGAGAGTAAAAGAGTACCTGGAGGGATTCTGATCATTAACTCCATGAAAATTTAGTTTTATTTTGGTTCATAGTTTTGAATAAATGTAATAAATTCTGGCTGCGTTTGTGTATTGCATTGTTACAGCAAAGCAGTATTTTCTGTTGGACCAGTGTTGTATAAAGTACCACAAAGTGATACTTAAGTAAAAGTACAAGTATCTTACCAAAAAATTACTTTGGTAAAAGTTAAAGTTTCCTTTAGGAATATTACTTGAGTAGAAGTCTTAAAGTATCTGATATAGGGTTGGGTATAATCGTATCGTGTGCGATTAATCATCAGAAAAACATTAATCGATTATTTTTTGGCACTTGACGATTAATACGATTGATGCCACCAGGCAGAGTCCGGTCAGTGCTCCTCTCTGCTTCATATATGACAAACATAAAAAAAAAGATTCTGTAATTTATTTATCTATCAACACAATTTAAAACTTGATGTTTAGCCTGAAGTCTGTGATTTTGACACAATTTGGAACAGATTTTATGAAAAGAAAATCTTTCCCACTAAATTGGTCATGTGACTAGGACATAAAGGTGTCCAGGGACTCAAGGGGGTTAATCGTCAAATTAATCGTTATTGGCTAAATACCACAATTAATCGTGATTAATTTTTTTGCCAACATTGCCCAACCCTAATCTGATATGTTTTGTACTTAAGTAATAAAAGTATTAATATTGATTTAAAATGAGCAGTTATATTTTCAGTAATGACATGTATTAGGAGGTGACCTTCCCAAAAAATGCAGAAATGACTGTTGAAGTAAAATAATTAATTGATGTTAAATTTAGGATGCACTAGTCCAGCTGTTTCAGTTTATATACGTATATCAAAGCTGCACAAACCTTTTCTCCAAAATGAAAATCTATCTGAGGGCTGTGGCCAAATGCTATAATAAAATTCATGAAATACAAATACTTCTTAAGTACAGTCCTTTTATTTTAATGATTTTGTCCTGCTGGAGTGTGACATGATTTGTTTGTGTACAAATTAATACAGTATCAGAATTTTATATATTTATACTTCTCATTCAACCACAATTGAATTCACTCTATCCAGGAGGAACAATTTAAATAGATAGTATTTATTTTTTACAATAAGAAGCTGGAATGAAAACAAGCAAAAATTGAATAAAAATGACGACTTTCTACTTCTTGTCTTTTTTAAAAATGTAGTGAGTAGAAAGTACAGATAATTGTGTGAAAATGTAAGGAGTAGAAGTAAAAAGTAGGCTGAAAAAATTTACTCAAGTAAAGTACAGATACACAAAAAAATCTACTTAAGTACAGTAACAAAGTATTTGTACTTAGTTACTTTACAAATCTGTGTTGGACTGAGGATAATGTTGGCTCTGTTCACATGAAATCTCCTTTCTAACACTATTTATAATATTACTCATCAATCAGTCCATCTCCTTGTTTTGTTCCCGGCACTCCTCCAGGAGAGATGGTCCGTCAAGCTCGGGTCTTGGCTCAGGCCACCTCGGACCTGGTGAACGCCATGCGGTCGGATGCTGAAGTTGAGATAGATGTGGACAACTCCAAGAAGCTGCTGGCAGCTGCCAAGCTGCTGGCAGACGCCACTGCCAGGATGGTGGAGGCAGCGAAGGTGAGCAGCGGTGGGGTGCGTGACAGTTATTCAGGCCGTGTTGCAGAAATTTCACTTTTGATTTTTCAAGGTTTTTTTATTTTTATTCATTTCAAAACAGGTGATGTGAATCAGAATCACTGGGTAAACTAACTTTCTTTTAAATTTCTTTAAAATTCTGCAATAATGAACCTTTTTTATGGGTGAAAACAGGTTTTCAGTTACCATTTAGGCAAAACCTTAAAAGAACAGAAGGGTCTGAAACAAACATTCAGAATTAAACATTCATTTTAAATCATTCCTTCTTACATTTCAACTCTTTTTTTTTCTCTGACTACTGAGGGGAAAACTCAGCAACACCACTGATCTTATTCTCCTTTATCCAAACTTTCCATCTGCCACCTCTGCGCATTACTCTCATTATCTGCAGACAGACCTGCGTGCTGATATTAATAACTCTCCTCTTCCACCAGGAGAATTAAATGATGCCCTCCAGCTGGTTAGTGGAGTTTGATGCCAGACTTATCACCATCACAGCTGGGTATTTATCTGCGTTAATGGAGGCCAGGACCTCAGCCAGCCGCTGCCTTGGCGACTAATCGATTAAATTTAAACAGTTTATTAATTGTTTTGTGCTGGTGTTTTAAACCTGTGTCAGGTTAAGATGGGCTTGGGCCACACTTTCGAAACCAAATCCCAGTTAGAAATTATTAAAATCAACGTTTAAAAGCACGTTCTCCAATTTTAAGTGATTTATTTACAATGACAAGACGCAAACAAAAACCCTGTCTTTTAGTTTTAATATTTTTTGAAGGGGCAATATTATGTGTTTCTCGGGCATATATTAGTAAGTAGTGTTAGGAGCTCAGCGGACAGTTTCAGTTTCACTTTCAGTTTCACCAGTTGTTTGCTTTGTTGCTGCTGAGAGCCTGCAGGAGTCATGGGCGGGATGTGTGGGGTGGGGGGTGGGGTGGTGTGCTCCGTGATGAGGAAGCTCGGCTTGGAGACACAGCCCAGAGGCGGAGATGGTCCCAAAAGGTGTTTCTAGTCCCAACCTGTCGGTTTTGCTCCCCTGCCTCAGGACACTTACAGGATTTCTCAAACAGGCACGAATGAGTCAAAGTAAGACTCTGGGCATGTTTTTGATGAGAGGATAACATTATAACATGATATAAAACTCAAAAAAGTTGATTTTACATGATATAGCCCCTTTAAAACACTAAGTGTTTAAATAGGTGCTGTGATATTACGTTGAAGTTAGAAATTGCATCAGTGGTCTTATTAGATGCATGCCATCCTTACCTTGGGTGAGGCTTCCAGTTAATGAAGTTAACAGGAAATGAGGATGTGCTCAGCGTTGACCGACACAAAAACTCTGTGAATTTGTGCTGTCGCATACATAAACATGAAGAAAGAGCTGCTTATTAACAGGAACAAACTGACATTTTGCCACCAACAAAGAAATGCAGTGTAGTTTGATTTGCAGCAAGGTTTGCATGAATTTCATTCCTTTTTTTTCCCCAATTCTGCACCAGTTTCCCTTTCCCGTCTGTAATGCTTAAGCGAGGGGTGTCCAAAGTCTGGCCCGGGGGCCATTTGTGGCCCCTGAACTGAGTTTGTGTGGCCCCTGAAGAATTATACTAATTTGTTTACAAATTTGTCCCCTCGGCACAGGTGTATAGACTTTCTATGTTTAATTATGGCGAAATTATCACAGACAAAGTAAAATCTTCTTCCATTAAAGAATATTGGCTTTTTATTTTTCTTTAAATAACTAGATTCTTAGCTTTTTTCACATCTATCTGGTGACTTCTACTCAAAGCTGATTTTGCTGACCTCCAATTCACTTTTAATTAACTTATTAAATTTGTCTGAATACAGCAAGCATTTTCAACGAAAGAGTGACCTAAATCCTGATTTTATTGATCAGATTTAACTAAATTGGGTTCTTTATTCCCCAATTAAAACCTAGAAAATTGCAAAATTTCTTTCAATAAGTGAAACCTGCAAAACACTTTTAAACTTCTGGATCTAGATTAATTTACACATCCATTCCAGCAATAAATCTGACTACTTTATTTGTTTAATTTAAATATTCAATGCTTAGTTTATTGTTGAGCAGGTAAAGGAAAAATATGTTTGGCCCTCAGATCCTTCTGACTTTATGATTTTGGCCCATGTGACAAAATGTCTGGACACCCCTGGTTTAAGCTAACATTGTTTTTGTGTGTGTGTTCTTTAGGGTGCAGCAGCATACCCTGAAAATGAAGACCAGCAGCAGAGACTGAGGGAAGCTGCTGAAGGTCTGCGTGTGGCCACCAACGCTGCTGCTCAGAACGCCATCAAGAAGAAACTCATCAACAGACTGGAGGTCAGCAGGGACAGATCATCTTTAACACTTAAAAAAAAACAGCTGTATCGTGAGAATATTTCATTCTGAAATAACGCTTGGAGGTTTCAGTCAATATGCACTACCAAAGATATTTTAAAAAATAACATGCCAGGATCCCCAGCGTCCATCCTCTACAACAATGGTTCTCAAACTTTTCAGATTTTGACCCATAAAATAGAGACCTGAGACCTGTACCCCCAACTGTGTTTTAGTTAAACCTTGGTATCAGGTCACATAAACATAGGCATAATCACAATGTTCATTATCCTGCTTTCATCTGTTTTTAAGTACACCAACCTCATTCTTTTGTAACAACTAAGGCAAAAAAAAAGAAAAGAAAACTCAATTTTAAATGTAATTATTTTTGAAAATCTTTTCAGACCACACCTTAATGCTTCATGACCCACAGTGGGGTCCCGACCCTAATGGTGGGAACCCCTGGTATACAGAACTATCAAAGATAGAAGTGAAGGCATCGGTCATCAGCAACCACAAAAGCACAACTCCGTGTTGACAAATACCAGGGCAAATAATAAAGCCCTTTAAACTGCATTCTTAAAGGGATCCATGATTATTTGTAACATTAGACTTTATATGATAAACATATACTTTAACTGTAAAATAAAGACTGTAAAAATACTGTAGGCTGTTTAGTTTTCATAATTTTTAAACTAAAACTTTAAAAATATGTTACACGGACGGGGCCATTTTATTTACACGCAAAGCATTCTGGGTAAATGATGACGTGGATAGGTCCTTGGTGCGAGGCTGCTAGCGAGCTATATCCACCCTGAAGGTTAATCTTGGACAATATCTGATGATCGTCTCTTTTAAATGAAACCAGATGTGTTGACAGAGAGGAGAAGGTAGAAATGACTCAGTCTGTAACTGAAAATATAGATGGAGGACAACAGAGCTGCTTCATGGAAGAAGAACCTCAGCTTAGCCTGTTAGCTTTAGTGTTAGCCCCGACGCTATCACCATATATATGTATTTGCTCAGCGCTACACATTCTCCTCTCGTCACTGAGGTCCTCCATCCACATGACAGAGAGGGGAACGCAAAAATGACTCAGTCTGTAACTGAAAATATGGATGGAGGACCTCAGTTTAGCTTGTTTGTCGTGCTAGCACCGAGCTAATACATATAAGGCAATATACCGTGAGGGCTAACAGGCTAAGCTGAGGTTCTTCTTCCATGAAGCAGCTCTGTTGTCCTCCATCCACACTTCTCTCTGTCAACGCTCTCTGGTTTCATTTAAAAGAGTCGATCATCAGATATTGTCCAAGATTAACCTTCAGGGTGGATATAGCTCGCTCACACCGAGGACCTATCTACGTCATCATTTACCCAGAATGCTTTGCGTGTAAATAAAATGGCTCCGTCCATGTTAAAAAATAATTTAAAAAATGTACAAAATTAAACACTCTACAGTATTTTTACAGTATTTATTTTACAGTTAAAAATAAATGTTTATCAAATAAAGTCTAATGTTACAACTAATCATGGATCCCTTTAACGGTAGAGCATTTACACCCTGACTGTAAATCAGCCCGGTCTACAGTTACACACGGATGTTTGTTTGCCTCCTCAGAATGCTGCCAAACAAGCGGCGGCCGCAGCCACGCAGACCATCGCCGCCGCTCAAAATGCCGCCGCCTCCAATAAGAACACAGCCGCTCACCAGCAGCTGGTGCAGAGCTGTAAGGTGAGGATCAAAGCAGCGCGACACCCCGTTTCTCTCTGATCTTCTGTTGTTTGTCATCGTTTGGTGTGTCATGTTAATAGTTGACTTCAAGCTGCTTTTTCCTTTTTCTTATTCCCACCCTGCATCTTCTATCAGCTGCTCAGTTTCTCTGCGCCTCTGAAAATGCTGCTTGGGGATTTGCAGAGTTTAATATTAAAAGGATTTTGCACTGAGCCTTTTTATTGAAGTTTCTACTATAATTACTTTCGTGTTATTTACTGAATGTGTGGGTTTTGTGTGTGTGTGTGTGTGTGTGTGTGTGCGCGCAGGCTGTAGCAGATCACATCCCACAGCTCGTACAAGGAGTACGAGGCAGCCAGGCCAAACCAGAGGACCTCAGTGCACAACTAGCCCTCATCATTGCCAGCCAAAACTTCCTGCAGGTGCAGCAGGTTTTACTTTAGTTACACAAAGACGAGACACATGTTCTTCTCCAAGACTCAAAGTAACTTCGGCCCTACACTGAGAATCAGGCTGAAATTATAAATAGTGTTGGTGTCGTTGGGGGACCAGTTTAAGTAGGCCTGTAACCTCTTTATGGAGTCAGATGAAATTTAAAGAAACATTTCTTTTTTGTACACATAAAACGTCTCAAAAAATAACGTTGAAGTTTTTATATAAAGTGAATAATTTTTCGCTAACCCTTTTAGGAAATGTAGAGATAATATCTTTTGTTTTGTTTTGTTCGCTCCACACTGCAGCCCGGCAGTAAGATGGTGAGCTCTGCCAAGTCGTCCGTTCCCACAGTGACGGACCAGGCTGCAGCCATGCAACTGGGTCAGTGTGCCAAAAACCTGGCCACCTGCCTGGCTGAGCTCAGGACGTCCGCACAGAAGGTAGAGCTGTGTTTTCATTCATAAACAAACACTGTGGTTTTACACGTCACCTATTCTACATTTAGATTACCTCCAAAGGATTTCACCTCTGTAGATTATGTTTAATAAATAAGGTTCTTAGTAGTAATCATAATGTGCAGAAATTAGGCCACATATTCTAAAATCATTTTATTTTGCTTTGTTTACACAAATTTGCAGTTTAATCCACCTCCGTCGGTGATGTTGCCTTGACAAATAAATGCCATTTCTCTCAGACTTTAACATGAAAGTACGAAAGCACAAACGTTACAAAATGTAAAAATAAAGACTGCTGACAGTGGGCTCTTACTGGTTAGGCTCATGAAGCTTGTGGCCCCATGGAAATCGACTCTGCGCTCACAGCCATCCAGACCCTGAGAAGTGAACTGCAGGATGCCAGGATGACGGCTGCGAACGCTCAACTCAAACCTCTTCCTGGAGAATCGGTAAGACATCCTTTCCCTAAAACATCTCGTGTTCATTCTTTTAAATGTGGACGAAAAATTACAGCGGTGTCGAATTTGAGGAAGCAGTGGAAATGAAATCTAAAATTCTAGTTTTCACTTGAAGCAAATGCATTATTTTGCAGTCAGATGTTCAGTTTTTGAACGATAAAGTGGATGTTTTTTTTATTTTTTATCCTCTTTAGTTGGAGAAGTGTGCTCAGGATTTGGGCAGCACCTCCAAGTCGGTGGGATCCTCCATGGCTCAGCTACTCACGTGTGCTGCTCAGGGAAATGAGCATTACACTGGTTGGTTCTACACAACACTCTGACATCTGGAAAAATATTCAACTCTCACTTGAAGAGAAAAAAGAAAGTGATATGCAAGCATTTAATCGTATCTAGTGAGTGCACAGCCCTGTTTTCAGCTGTGCAGGGAAAACTAAAGCTTTTATCTTGTTCACCTTGGTATATATGTATTCTCTGGGGAAACTCTCTATCTGTGTGTGATCTCATTTGTAGGAATAGCTGCCAGAGAGACGGCCCAGGCTCTGAAGACACTGGCCCAGGCAGCCCGGGGAGTCGCTGCCTCCACTACAGACCCCAAGGCCGCCGCCGCCATGCTGGACTCGGCTCGCGACGTCATGGAGGGCTCAGCGCTGCTAATTCATGAGGCCAAGCAGGCACTGATTTCCCCAGGAGACACAGAGAGTCAGCAGACGCTGGCACAGGTGAGAGTGTAATTTATTCTAATAGTGTCCTTTCTGAACATTAAGATGAATTTGTGGACGGCAGGATCGCTCAGTTTTAACTAACCTGACCGTAGCACTTGTGCTGCGAAGGTGATGTGATCAAATGTTGCAGCAGAATTGCAATTTGTTTAATTTACAAGTTCCTATACACTCGCCTTTTGTGCATAGAACATAAATCGTCCTGCTCGTGAAAATGACGTGCAGATTTGTAGCTAAGCCGAATTACCTCTGCTCACCTCTGTAAAGCTTGTGCTGTGACCACACTGTGTGTTCCAGGTGGCCAAAGCTGTCTCTCACTCCCTGAATAACTGCGTCAACTGTCTGCCCGGCCAGAAGGACGTTGACATGGCTCTGCGGAGCATCGGAGAGGCCAGCAAGAAACTCCTGATAGAAACTGTGAGTCTCCGTGGATTTGTTTCTGTGTTTGGACACTAGTGCTGGGCGGTATGACCAAAATTTTATATCACGGTATTTTCAACATTTACACCGGTTTCACGGTATTTTTCTTTTCATCACAGGTCAGCGATAATAAAATGTACAAACACTGCGTATTAGCTTTTATCTTTTACTGTACCTCTGTCTGCGTCGCTGTTTCCTTCCTCTAAACGTCGTTTCTTCTCCTCCTGGTTGGAGACAGTAGTAATGCATTTTGGTCGGGTCGTGAAGGAGGAAGGTTTTAAAAAAAGATTATTATCGGGTCTATTGTTTTATGTTATTTAATAAAGTTTAACAGCACGACTCACCTTGCACACCAGTCAATTCAATTCCAGTACAAAACTTTTTCACCCCGGCTTTTCACAATAGCAGCACACTAAAGTCTCCATGCGTCTTCACGTCTCCATATTAAAGTTGCATGTTATATCTAACTATGCACGTCACTGAAGAGGTGTTTACTACATTCAGTGATGGCAAAAACGGGATGATTTTTTTAACATCAGCCAATATGAGAAGCAGAATCGCCATCCGCTGCTGCAACAAAAACATTAGCATGCTAACGCACATAGCGGTGCAGCGAGGAAAAGTGTCCCCCAGGAAACAGTTCACTGGCGGCCGCAACGAAACATTCCGCACGTGTTCAGGCTATTTAAACCGGTACGTCGGTATTCAGAAAATTCATATCATAACAAAAATTAAAAATGGTATTCGGTATTTCAGCAGCGTTCAGTTTAACACTAGTTTCATTGCTTCTACCTGTTGCCCGATTTGTCTTTCACCACGAGCCTTTCTTTTTGCGTGCTCTGTTCAGATCCCTCCAGCCTCCAGAACGTTTCAGGAGGCCCAGAATGAGCTGAGCCACACTGCAGCTGGCCTGAACCAGTCAGCAGGGGAGGTGGTCCACGCCTCCAGGGGCTCCAGCGGCCAGCTGGCCGAGGCCTCTGGGAAGTTCAGCCACGACTTTGATGAGTTCCTGGATGCGGGCATCGAAATGGCTGGACACACACAGGTTTTGTGTTTTGAATCTTTTATACAATATTATCACACTTCTTTTGAAACACAAACTTACAGTTTGATCTTTGGTGCCATGATGCTTTTCAGAAAAAAGACGACCAGGTGCAGGTGATTGGTAACCTGAAGAACATCTCCATGGCTTCCAGCAAACTACTGCTGGCTGCCAAAAGTCTGTCTGTGGACCCAGCAGCAGCAAACGCCAAAAACCTGCTAGCTGCTGCTGCAAGGTACGTGCTTGCAGATACACATCTTTAAAAAAAGGTTCAGTAACTGCACGGAGAATCCTGTTGTATCTGCTATTGTTCTGAACTCTTCCAGCTGTTGAACAATTCCAGCTGCTTAGATTTCTCTCGGGGGTCTGTGTGATCTCATGCAGATGCACAAGGCTTCTTCTCACACACTATTCTTCTTTGAAGCTTTCAAAAAACATAAAACAAAACAAGAATTTCAAACACCGACTGATAAATGGCACGACTGTAGTTTTGTTCAGTTTGGTCCTGAGTTCTCGGGCTTACGCACATTATTGGCATCTCTCTGTGAAATACTTTTTATTCTGTTCCTTTATAGATGACTTTTTGCTCCTGTGTGTTTCAGAGCTGTGACAGACAGCATCAACCAGCTGATCACGCTGTGTACACAGCAGGCGCCCGGCCAGAAGGAGTGCGACAACGCCTTGAGAGAGCTGGAGGTAAGTGGAGCTTTCATCAAATGATCAGAAAGAAACATGTAGTTATTTGTCATGATCTCTCTCAGTAGATTCACTGCTCACTCCCTGCTCTGATTTTGACTGGAAGAAATAGTCCTAAAAGAATGGATTTGCTTGTTTGTGTTTCAGGCTGTCAGGAAAATGCTGGATAATCCCAGTGAACCGGTCAGTGACCTCTCTTACTTCGACTGCATTGAGAGTGTGATGGAGAACTCAAAGGTAGACTTTCAGATTCATCAAAGAACTGAGTACCTCCTGCACAAATCCTAACCAGTTTTAATGATCTCTCTGGCTTTCTATCAAGGTTCTTGGAGAGTCCATGGCCGGTATTTCTCAGAACTGTAAGACAGGCGACGTGTCTTTGTTTGGGGATTGTGTGGGCTCAGCCTCCAAAGCCCTGTGTGGCCTCACTGAAGCTGCAGGCCAGGTGAAGTGTGTGGAGGAAATCGCTCGCAGTACAGGAGCTGCTAAAAAGATCCTGCTGTGTTCTGCTGGTAGGAGACGATTGTGATGGAGGCTGCTGACAAGTGTGATGTTTCCTCAGGCTTCCTACCTGGTGGGTGTGTCGGATCCCAACAGTCAGGCGGGACACCAGGGGTTGGTGGATCCCATCCAGTTTGCCAAAGCTAACCAGGCTATCCAGATGGCTTGTCAGAATCTTGTGGACCCACAGAGCAGCCCCTCCCAGGTCCATTCACACACCAAACGCTCTGTATTTACGGCACATCACCAGACGATAGATTGTCTCACATTAATGTGATAAACAATAGTATTATTTGGAGACCTTTTTAAACTAATGTAATGATGCCCCACCCCCGCTTACGAAGCTCATGGAAGTTTCTGAATTTTACAAACTGACCAGGGGTCAGATTTATAAAACTTGCGTACGCCACTTTTCACGCCAAGGTTGTGATTTATAAAATCCAAACTTGACGTGAAAATGTGCGGTGCCTCACGCCAGCTCTGAACCATGCGTACGCTCATTTTGGAGACAGGAAGCTGCAACACAGATGGTGAGGTGAGGAATTAGAGCCACACTGTGTAATGATCACTGTCAGATATTTAGTTTCACTTCATAATCAGACTTAGATTTTTATTCAGCTTTATCATCAGCTTTCTTAACAGTAATATTTATGCTTCTGCTGCTTAGTCATAATGACCTTTGAAATAAAAAAACTTAAATCTTAAATAAAAATTCACGCATCTCCATCCATCTCCTTCCTCCTCAGATAACCCTGACCCACAGACCCCTCCCCGACAAGAGACATTTCAACAGCACAACAGCAAAAGTCTCTCTCTGGGTACACATGCAGGGTGCACCCTTCGCCAGTGTGGATGTTATAAAACTTCACTTTTTAAAGTCCGTATTTGTTATGCGCAGGGGGCGAGGGGGGGCGGGGTCTGCCGCAGATAACAGAGCAGGCAGCGGGGGAGGACGGGAGAGAAGAGCAGTGAACTTAACTTTGAGCCAATCGCTTTTGTTCGCATTGATCAGCTGACTGATTTAAATACACCTTAACATTCATGAGGTACTTTACATTGACTGTTTATGGTTGAATGTGGGTGTGTAGAGGGCAGAACCTGAGGTGGGACCTTGTGCACAAACTCTGAGGTGAAGCTGTGATCTAAAAAGGAAAGGTGAGCAGAAACATGCGTACACACGGTTTTATAAATCTTAATTTTTTTTGGCTACGCCATTTTCGCCTTTTGGCCGCACGTTCACTTTTAGTATGGTTTCCACGCAATCCTTTATAAATCTGACCCCTGGACTGGAGATTGTGAAAACAACACAACAGCAGCTGCTGAAACAGTGAAATCACTTCCAGCCACTTCTATCCAAGTCGGCGCAATTTATTCTGTATTTTTTCTTCCTCTGGTTTCATAAAATTGCGGTAACCCACACGCTACTTACGAAGTTTATGGAAGTTTACATAGTGTAAAAAAAGAAAAACTCCGTGAACCCAAGATTTGGCACGGTGTCCTGAGGTGTTGCCAGATGAAAGAATGCAAAGATGTTCCTCTAGCTAAATGCCTGTCCACTGTGCTCTCATGCTACAGAAGCTACGAGACCATGCACCTGAGTTCACTTCTTCTTATGCTACGGGTCACGCTAATAATTGATTTACAGGTCCTTCTCAGAAAATTAACATATTGTGATAAAGTTCATTATTTTCTGTAATGTACTGATAAACATTGAACTTTCATATATTTTAGATTCATTGCACACCAACTGAAGTAGTTCAAACCTTTTGTTGTTTTAATATGGATGATTTTGGCAAAAAAGTAAAGAAAAACCAAAAATCTGTATCTCAAAAAATTAGCATATTTCATCCGACCAATAAAAGAAAAGTGTTTTTAATACAAAGTACAGAGTAAAGAGTGCTGTATCAAGACACCTCAGTGGGAAGTCTATGGGAAGGACAAAGTGTGGCAGAAAACGTTGCACAATGAGAAGAGTTGTCAGTCAGTGATGGTCTGGGGTGCCATGTCAGCTACTAGTGTTGGCCCACTGTGTTTTATCAAGGCCAGGATCAATGCAGCTATCAGGAGATTTTGGAGCACTTCATGCTTCCATCTGCTGAAAAGCTTTATGGAGATGAAGATTTCATTTTTCAGTATGACCTGGCACCTGCTCACAGTGCCAAAACCACTGGTAAATGGTTTACTGACCATGGTATTACTGGGCTCAACTGGCCTGCCAACTCTCCTGACCTGAACCCCAGAGAGAAGCTGTGGGATATTGTGAAGATAAAGTTGAGAGACCCAACACTCTGGATGAGCTTAAGACACAAGACCCAACACTCTGGATGAGCTTAAGACACAAGACCCAACACT